AGGGAAAGAAAGATAGGGAAAGAAAGATAATCCAATTATCACAAAGCAAATAACACATCCCACAGATCAACGTATCTTTTTTCTTTTTTTCTTTTTTTCTCTTTTTTCTTTTTTTCTTTTTGTCTCTTTTTCTTTTCTTCTTTTTTTCTTTACCTGTCCCCACCTCGGCAGATAGGACAGTTACGGTGAGGATGATGTGAATGTTCACAAGGATGCCCAAGGAGAGCTGCGCCAGCACAACATTCTGCAGGACGGCTAGCACGAACCATCCCATCAAAACATATATATATATATCTGTCCCTTTGGTCTCTCTGTGTCCTATCTTTTGTGTGTGTATATATATTGTCACAATATATATATCCTTCGCCTTGGCCTCCCTCTGTGTGCGAGCATGTACCAGCGTTGATGTACGTCCCTGTCACTGGGCAGACCACCGTACCAGAAGCAAGTTCTTCCCGCGCTTCAACATTATTACCGAGACATAAGTTTTCCCGCGCATGCCAGAGATAAGCTTTTTTTCCCGCGCATGCCAGACATAAGTTTTTCTTTCCCGCGCATGCCACCTTCCTTCACTCTCTGCCTAGAAAAGCGCGCACCTCAAGACCAGTGGTCAGGCATGCAGCCACCTAAGCCAGAGATGGGATCTGCCTTGCCTTGCCTTGCCACAACACCGTCCATGCGATAGACAGGGAAGAGTGTCAGCAATACATACAGACTGGCATCACGATGCTCAGACCCAGCGAACCAAAAGCCAAGCGTATGGCTCCTCTCCTCCTCTTGGCTTGTCATCCACCCTTTGCCCGCTTTCGAGTATAACGAGGAAACGCAGCCCATCGCGCTCTGAGGATGCGCGCGTGCCGATTGCAATCACCGAACATGGCGCCAACACCAAGAAAGAAAGGAGCGGGAAAATGGAAAACGTCAAAAATGGCGCCAAGACCAAAAACGCGAGGTGCGGGAATATCGCGCCAAATGACGACTACGCACCAGGGGCAGGCGAAAACCCACCACCCCACAGCGATGGAGCACAGCTCACCCTGTCCCACGGTCGGCCCATCCTATGATGGGCATCGTTCCACTCTGCAGTACACTCCATATGCACAAACGACAACGACAAAAATCATGGCTGTGCATCTTTCCATGTTCTAGCGAAAGATTCACTCTCGTTTTGCACATTTTTTGGAGAGTAGCGCAGTGACACGAGACCCTATACCTGCCTGCCTCCCCCACACTTATTGCTGCCCCGATCTATCAAGACCCCGTTTTCCAGATTCGCCTTCGCTGCTGCCAACGTGGCCATTTTCACTTTTTTTTTCGTTTCTTAGGGTAGATTCTATTCTACAACGGCCGGGTCATAAGCGCTACCTACCTATAAAGGGAAACCCTGCCCCTGCAATCAAGAATAGGAGGACACCTCTGTGCAGAGACACCGGAGAACGTACGGTCACTTGCATACCCCCTTGGGCTGACCCAGGTAAGCCAGACCCCCGGGTTGTATCATGGGTCTTGTTCTTGATACTGCGTGGCTTGCTTGCTGCTGTCAGTCTTGGTTGTTCTGCTGATCTCCCAGTCTGTCAACGACACATAGGTACCATAGGATTAGCAAGATCAAGGGTTCGAGTCTGGCTCGGGACTTTGGGGGGGTTCTTCCAGCTTGGCCTGTCATTTTTTCACATACCAGACATGCACTGCCTCCATACACTCTAGACACAATGCTACACACTGCCTACGGGCACCTACAAACCATACAATCGTATATACAACCATACAACCAGTCCGGGCCGGCATCTACACATAGGCATACAAAAGAATATATACATAATCGGAGGGATAGCCTGCGAACTAGGAGGAATGGTGGCCCACCGCCTACTGAGTCTGTAGTCTGTCCCTTCCCATCCTTACAGGAGGAACCTAGCTGATGACCGGAATCTGCTGACAGGTGGGAGACAGTCTACTACTGAGGATAGATCAAGCAGGCATAGGTGCCTTTGGGGGGGGAGGAGCCTAGTTGTTGACAGGTGTCGGCGTGAATAACCTTACAAGGGTATGTGCACTGGTTTTTGCAAATGGCACATATGAGGTTTGAATTGAAAGCTGGATGCAAAAATTTGGTGGGCCACGCGAGCCACGGCCAGTTTTCTCTTTGTAACCAACCATCCGTTAAAAAAAAAAAAAAAAAAAAAAAAAAAGGGAGTGCTTGGGCGCCCAGTTTTAAGGTGCGCGCAATTTTTTCTTGTTGATACTACAAAGCCAACACAAATGCCCATCAACTTCTTGTTTTGACAAAAAATAAGTTTAAAACTTTAAGTGATTTTTCTTCTGGTATGTACATCTGTTTGTAGCACGTGCGCGTGCAAGGAGGCGGTATTACCGCGGTCGGCATCCGGTTGACTACCGGCGTCGCGAATTTTGAAAGTAACTACCCTGGATTTTTATTCAAGACGCACTGGATTTATGAAGTATGGAAATTGATGTGTTTCTGGTGTCAACAGAGGCCTCCTATTTTGACCTTGGTGGGATGCGTAGATGGAGGTCAATGCGGGCGAGAGAGCCGTTTGTCGCCACTAAAATAATAAAATACGAGTTGAAAGTCACTGCTTGTGCAAGTATGGAGCAGCGGCGGCACGACTTTGGCGTAACGGGTGGTGCATGTGGCGGCCATGAGCCAAACCAAGTCTTTGTGCGGAGAAGGT